GCTGGCTATGGGCAGGACGGGAGCCATGAAGATTCCCCAGAACAAACGTCTATAAGGGCAGGGCTGATAGCAAGTGCCTCATGGCAACGTCCGAAGTCCTTAAATAGAAATCAGACATTTTCTATGGAGACTGCCAATCAGTAACAGAAGACCCCCTGAAAGATTCTAAACCAGATTATATAAGCGGTAGCGGGATTACTTTTACATTCTATGTGGAAAGAACACCTTTTCCCTACAGGACTTTAGAGTCCCAACTGTGAAAACACTGCCACTTCTTTGACATAGCCTGGGGCTCTTGTCTGCAGGCTGTGGCATGTCCATGCCGCTGTCTTGCGCAGGGCTGGCTCCTAGCACACGCTTGTGGAACTGAATATACGGAAATGAGTAAGCGGTAAGAATAACCAGCTAACTCATGAATTATTAATTTCACGTCAATTAGTAGATCATTCCTTTTCCCTTTTTTAAAAATATGTATTTTGAGAGAGGAAGAACACACAAGCAGGGGGAGCGGGAGAGAGACAGGAGAGGGAGAGAACCAAACAGGCTCTGTGCTGACAGCACAGACATGGGGCTCGAACTCAGGAACCATGAGATCGTGACCCAAGCCAAAAGCAAAAGTCAGATGCTTAACTGACTGAGCCACCCAGGTGCCCTTTATTTCCCTTTTGCTATGAAAAAAAGTTACTCTGAATTCTGGGTTTTGGAAAGTGAGTTTAGAAGTCATCTGTTCCAGGATACTTCCCTTTTCTTAACCAAAAATACTACATATCGATGATAAGCACAGACCATTAAATAATGAAAATATGCTTTGATTTCTAAAGACTTATCATTCGTACCAGAAATGTGAGCTTAGCTAACCATGGCTCATAATAACCTAAAGACTTCACTCTTACTTTAAATAATGTATAGAATGCATGTGCATGCACATACATGCTATTATGGACTGGATGTATGTGTCCCCCCAGTTCACACGCTGCAGCTCCGACCCCCAATGTGTCTGTATTTGGAGGAGAGGCTTTTTGAGGAAAGTAGGTTTAGATTAGGTTATGAAGGTGAGACACTCATGATAGTATTAGTGCCCTTATTATTATTTTTTTGTTTATTTATTCAGGGAGAGAGAGAGGGAGACAGAGACAGAGAGAGCATGAGCAGGGGAGGGGCAGAAAGAGAGGGAGAGAGAATTGAAAACAAGCTCCACATGGTCAGGATGGAGCTCCACGCAGGGCTCGACCCCATGAATCATGAGATCGTGACCTGAGCTGGAATCAAGAGTTGGGACGCTCAACTGACTGAGCCACCCAGGCGCCCCAGTGCCCTTATTAAAGAGGAAGAGACACCAGAGTTCTCTCTCTCTCTCCATACACATGTACCCAGGAAAGGCCAGGTGAGGAGAGAGAGAGAGAAGGCGGCCATCTGTAAGCCAGGTCAATGGCTCCCTACCAGAACCCAACCATACTGGCGCTGTGATCTTGTACTTCCAGCTTCCAGAGCTGTGAGAAATAAATGTCTATTGCTTAAGCCACCCAGTCTGTGGTACTTCACTTTGTTATAGCAGCCGAGCTGATTGATACAGGTGCTTAAACACAGGAAGGCAAAAGCTGCTGAGGATGTTGCCTAGGGAAAGAAGCTGCCCATCTCTTAAGAGGACTCAAAGTAAATACGTTTACCACATTCTGGGACAGTGTTTTGCAGACTTTTTTAGCCCAGTCACTCCCATAATTCATAAATATAAAAGTTTTACACCTCAATGTCACTTGAAATTAAGACCAAAATAAGTTTCTTGATGGGAAGGAAATGGAAACAGTGAGACAAAGAACCACCACAGAGTTTCCCCGTCATCCTCCCCTTCACTTCCTTAATGCTCGTGCAAAAACCTCATCTCAGCTTTCCTGGCTCAGAAACCCAATTTCATCAGCACTTTGAAGTAGAGCCATCCCCTGGGGCAGAATCACATCCCCAGGGCTCACCATCCTGACGTAGAACACCAGAGGGTCAAGTCATTAGTTCCCAGTAAGCAATGTAGACAGGACATGGGCCGGGGGGCTCGCACCGGCAGCGCCAGTGCACGCTGTTCTTGCTGGTAGACCTCCACGAGAAGCTCAACCCAAATTAGAAGGTTCCGGTGAACATGGACTCAGGACAAGGCGCGGGAGATGAATCAAATATCTACAGGCAGCAGGCTGAGCAAGGCTGATGCATCCGTTTCCACAGTGGGACGATCTTGCCAATACGGCCATACAAGGCTGGCCACACCTCCCTGCACCCTTCCCCGCAGCACCAACGTCCCTGCCAATCCACTGCAGGGCTCCAAGGTGTTGGCCACAGCTTCTCTCTCCTTTGGACACTGTGTGCATGGGCGCTGCCAGTTTTTGCCTCTGTGGCTTTTTTCCCCCCCCGTACTACTTTGGGCGACCAACTGTTTAGATGTTTTAATACACTTAATCAGGTTACGCAGAAATCCTGCTCGAATACAGCTGTGCTTATTACTTATGCTCACTTAATGTATCTTTGTGCCGCATCACAGGCTCATTTTAGAATGTAACTCTCAGAAGGAAATCTGACTTCTAAGCTCTTGGGGGATGACCTGCTGTGCCACTCATACACACGACAGTTTAGGTTTCTGTGTGTGTACACATGTAATTTTACCTACACATACGTTCACGTACCTCCATATGTATGCTTTTTGTGAGTTGTTAGAATTTAACCCTTTGCGTGACAAAGCCATCCCACACGCTTGTATTTTTTCCTTAGTTTTTAACTGAACTATAGAATAACGCAGTTTTGAACTAAAAGCATTTGACTTAACTAAGATGGTAAATATCTGACACTCCTGCTGGCTCCTGAGAAAGCATTCAAAATGTAAGCTACAAGAGACCTCCTTTTCCCCGGGGCCAACAACTTCTACTAGCAACAAATGCATTTCAAACAATGGAAATATTTATATCTAAGATATGTAAATTAAATGAGCAGCCTGACTTAAAAAAAGCACTTGAAAGCTCTTTTAGAAATGTCTATCTGATTTGATCATCCTATAAATGCAGAGTGGAAAGCTTGAGTTATGCTCCCTTGAGAAGATCAATAATGCTTAGTACAGAAAAGGCTTTCTATCCAGCTGCTGAAGGAAGAGCTGGCTATGGGTCAGAGGGGACTGTGGTCTTCCCCTTAGCTCTGGTCTCCAATAGACTCGTTGTCATCTTGTGCCACTGTGATGTATTCATTACTGATGGACAACTTGCGTGTATGAAACTGGCACGTTAGCTACGAGGGTGGAATTACATTTTCCCACAATATTTTATTCCCCCTCAAATGCTTTTGTGCCATAAAAGGCTTTTAAAACCATTTAGTCTGGGAAACTGAGATGACCTTCAGTATCATTTACCTCTTGGTAACACCTAGTAGAAATCTATAGGGACGCCATTCCCCAGGAGAATTAACAACAGACAACAATACTAAGTTTGTTTGCTTTCCAAGCAGCTCAAGCCCAGGGCTCCTTCATGAAACGGCACTAGCTTGTGACTGCTGAGCTGCTTCCCAATGGCAGTCCCACTGGGGAGGGCAAAGGACAGTCCCTCCTGGGTGGCTGAACTTCTTCTGCGGCTCTCACCCAACAGGTAGTGACGAATGTACTTAGGTACCGGGGAAGTGTGAGTTCGTTTCACACCAGAACATAGTTCATTCCTAGCAGAGGTCACTGCGACGAACAGAGAGCTCCCCTTTCTTAAAAAATAAACATACATATTAAATGACTGAAATCTCACCCAGAGATTTTAAAAGGAGGCACATGAAAGAAAGCCCCCATTATTGTGGCGGTCTCCCTGGAGTTGAACTTCTAGAGAAGTTACTCTGATAACTCTACCACTCAGCGACCAGACTGGGTCCCTTTCCATTCTCTCTCGTAGAAAAACGGGGTCTTCTTAACCCAGCCTTTTACCTGGTCTTCGTTCTTTGTAGGGAAAAAAAAAATCACCAGGTCCCTCCTTCTCATTCCTCCATCCTTTATTACAGCCAAGTTTCTAGCTTTGGTACGGGTATTGCTATTCTGTTCACTCTGACCTGCCTTGTAGGCTCCAGGATTCTATGACCTTTACTCAATCCAAACATGGACTGAACACCTTTGTTGTGCAGGGTGCTTGTTTTCCGGCTTGGGTTAACAGAAACCAGTGTGGAAAGATTTTTTACCAAGTAAATATAAATTGTGATACTAAGAAATTTAAAGCATTTGTTTTGATCCCTTCATCTAGAACTCTGTTGACCCCTCAATCACTAGGAAGATGTGGGTTCTAAAACAATGAAGAAACATATATAAAAAAGAGGTTAGCATTATAAAAAGGGAAACAATCCACTAGGAGACCACTAGGAAGGAACTTAAATATTTAAACCTACTGCAAATATTTGTATATTGCTATTTTAAGACATTTGAGAGGTAGATGATCTGGATCGATTTCTTTTTTTTTTTTTGAGGTTATTTTAATTTCTTCTACTATGACCTGGATTTTCCTCTTAATCTGTGCAGATTAATCTGTTTTTAAGTGGTTTACTTCCTTACCTAACCACAGTCCTTTGAACTTTAGTTCAAGTATATTAAAAAAAATTATCTTGGTAGTTACTGGCTCATCTTTTACGTACTGTCATTTTGGGTATTGTTTTAGGTATTGTTATACGTGCCTCTGATTTTGGAATATTTGTTACAACATCTGCAGTGGCTACTAACACCATTTCTTAGAATCAGATGCTTCTTTTAGATTCCCATTTCATTTACTGCGGTCAGCTCAGAGTTTATGGATTGGGGGTTGGGAGGCGGGAAGGGAGAGACACTGGGCAAGAAGCCAAATCTCTAGCACTACCACTCAGACTTCAGATACTTAGGACATTTCGTACCTACTTGTTTTGTAATATTGCTGGTATTCATGAAGCACAGGCCTTTAAGTTAAAGGGGGGGAAAAAAAAGGAAACCAGACGTGACAGCCCCCAACTCTCACATCACTGGACAACTGTCTCACCTGGTTGGTAGAAGTCCGGCGACAGCTCCCTGGCCACAGCTCTTGCGATGTCACACTCCTGGCGGGCAGCCTGAGCTGCCTGGTCGGCGGCGTCAGCTTTCGCTCGTGCGTGTGCGGTCCTACACGGAGCACAAAGGGCGAGTCAGCAAGGGCGGCACCTTGTTAATCGCACATGGACACACAAGCTGGCTGCGGTCTGGGGAAGAAAAACGCTGTGATCGTGGCCACATGCCTCCGACTGCAAGTTTTATGGTCATATTGTTGTGAGAGATCAATGAAGATGACATGGATGAAACCATCCATATATTTTGCCTCGATCCTCCTTTCAAGGAAAACGAAAAGGGTGAGCAACTTCTGGGCAGCCTGATGCAATGCCTGGTTTTCAAAACTTACTGGATCAAATTCTTGTGCTGACTGATCAGATCTCCCCTGCCCCAAACCATGGAGAGTAGAGCTAGAGCTTATAAATACACAGTGTTCATGAATTTAATTTCCTATGGTAGAATCCAAATAAGAATTTGATCGACAAGGGTCTGCCCAGGAGCATGCTGGAAAAGTAATTCCAGAAAACAAGTATTTAAACCTCTTTATTTGTGGCACTGATTACCGTGGTATAAATACTCCCTCCCTGACCAACTGAAGTGACATGATGTCACTGGATGTGTAGCTGCAGAGACACGCAGGCAGTGGGCTCTCACCAGCCTGTAGAAGCAGAGCATTGGACGTGCTCTTAAGAATGTGGCAAACTGAGGGCTGATGGGGGTGGGGGAGAGGGGGAGGAGAAGGGAGGTGATGGGCATGGAGGAGGGCACTTGTGGGGATGAGCACTGGGTGTTATATGGAAACCAACTTGACAATAAACTATTTAAAAATGTCATAATAAATGGTACTTAAAGCTTTTTAAAACTTTTAATTGTTTTTGACATACAGAAATACAATTAACTTACGAATACTGGCCTTCTGATTTAAGCTTACTTTTATTTCTATTATATTTAAAGATTACACGTGACTTTCCTTATAGTTAATCATGCTGTCTGCGAATAAAGACATTTCTACTCTTAAAAAAAAAAAAAAGAATGTACTCAGGAGGTCCTTAGAAGGCCAAGTATGTGTTTTTGTGTGAAACAAGGAGATAGAGTTGGGGAGGAAGAAACAGATGTCTTTCAATCTACCTGCCCCTTGGCCCATCCTCACTCACGAAACCTCTTCTGTTTCCAGAGGACTAGGGTGAGGGAGCAGGCAGCCGGGTAGAGAAGAGGCAAGACAGGACTGATGTCCACCCGCCCAAGAAGAGAGGACTTAAGGACAAGATGGGGAACTCTGGGCCATCTCCTTCCAAAGGAGACCCTGTCCACTTAGTATTTAGATGATAATCATGGGCATCTATTTCTTAGAATTCTGTTAGCCTTCCATCCCATTTTACGAGCAGCAGGCAGGGCCGTAGATAACCAGGAGTAAAAAGCACACTGAACATCTGAAAGAGTTGCCTGCACTCATTTCAGAAACAGCAGGAGAGGAAAAGTTGGGAAACAGCATGGGGCCCCAGCAGTTCTTAGCGGGGGGGTGGGGGGGGGAACGCAGCTGCGGCAGGCCAGGGGGAGTAGCTGTGGGCAGGACGCGGGGAAGATGGGGTCTGACCTGAGACGGGGGGCGGGGGCTCACTGGCAGGAGGTCCCGTTCTCAAATTCTCCGACTACCTCCTCTCATTCTGTGTCCTCGGGGACCCCTCACTCCCCCACCCCCCCTTTCCTAGGACCTAGCGAAGCTTGGAGGCTGGATGTACTAGGATGTAAGCTTCCCAGTCTGGGATTTTACATTTCTGGTTCTCTGCTAGATTCTCCATGTGCACAACACTGCCTGGCGCACTGTCTTTACTGGGGGCTCATTTTATGAATAAAGGTTTGAATGACGCTTCCTTAGGAACAGCTGGGTAGTCGCTCAACCATAAATGGATTGACACAACTATACAGCCAGTAAGATGAGCTGTTGCCAAGGCTTCAGGGCAAAAGTGGGGGAGGGAACGGAGAGGAGGAGCACAGGAGAAAGTGAGGGAAATGAAACTGCTCTGCATGACACGTGGCATCATGCAGGTGTCAAAACCCACTAAACAGTACCGAAGAGCGAGCGCTAATGGCAACTATGGACTTTTGATAATGCTAATATATCAATACTGGCTCAACTGTACCGCATGCGCCCTCTACCACAAGATGCTAATAACGGGAAACCGTGTGCGTGTGGGGAGAGGAGGTATATACACACGGGAACCAACTCCATGCTTTCTGCTCAATTTTTCTGTGAATTTAAAACAGCTCTAAAAAATAAAATTTATTAATTAAAAATGAATGGACCAACTTCCAGTCATCAAAATTGTTATTTCTGAATCACAGAGGACGTTTTAGATTATAAGGAATCATGAAATGCAAACAAAATCAACACTTAGTCCCCGTGCTGCATCTGAGAATCAGTGGAGACCCTGTGTTATGTTCTTTCAGTTTCTCAGAATCTCCAGCCTTTCTTCCCAGAATTATTTTCCATTTTATCTGCTATTCTTAGATAGAGCCTAATTATGTCTAGGCATCATAATTAATGAAGCCATAAGAGTACAGTTATGCTGCCTTAAAATCTGCTAACCCTTCAATGATAAATCTGTAAAACTCAGTACCAACAGTTTATTCTGATACTATCACAACGCACCACCACATACTCAAATAAAATGGTACCATTTCTCCGCACCAATTGTTACAATATGCTGAGCTGGAGAACAGATAGATACAGCTTAACCTTTCTACAAATGTATTTTGGAAGTACAGGGTCAATAAGGCTGTGACTCTTTACTTTTTTACTCGCTGTCTCCTGTAAGCCCAAACAGGGAGGGAGCCTTTCCATCTAGTGCGCCTTCCCTGCGTCAAGGCTCCAGCACAGCCGGCAAGATGAGTCAATACCACATTCAAACCCTAAACGAGAGGCCTGCACGGGTGCCTTTGGCCGCCCTGGACCCGAAGACAGGAAGTAGAAGAGAACAGGAACCCATCTGAGCTTGCTGTCACCACCAGCTTGGGATGGCCGGGCCACTGACAGGTCTAGATATTAGCCCCAGGAAAAATCTGGGCTTAACGCTGGCTCATGTTAGTGAATTCATGTGTTCAAATCCCAGGCTCAGTTCCAGAGCCACACACAAACCCTTTATTCAGCCAAGTGGTAAGACATGCCATTGTTCCTGGTTTGGGGGTTGGGGAGGTTCAGGCTAGTCAGTCTGGGGAGGTCAGCTGAAACTACGCAAAGCGTATGCCCTGGGCTGTAGCTGGTCACATGCAAAGCATACACACACAAAGGGAGCATGAATGCCCTGTGAGTCTTTCACATATTCGAACACTGCTGGTATCTCTAAGTGGTCAGACCCTCATGAATCTCCAAATGCCATGATCACATACACTTGCTCCCATAAAATGCAGTGAAAAGTAAGTAAAAAGTAACTTCTTTCAGTTAGGCATCTGCTGTCGACTTTCTGTTAGGGCCATGATTTTACAAACAGACCCAAGTTTTAGCTTGTGGAGAGTTACTATGTAGGGGCGAAGAGGCACAGAGCCCTGAGTGGCTGGCTAAGCTGGGTGACGTCCCCCTGGACATAAGCCCTGCAAAGGCCATGTGTGAAGAACCAAAACAGTAAGTGCGCAATTTCTGGATATGAGGCATCCCCTGTACACAGGTACTTAATTTCAACCTATTTTTCCAATCAATATTTGATGATGAATATCTGAGTTTCTTTCTTCAATAAGTGAGATAGTTTTTCACGAACTCTCCAGTCACCTTGCTCAGAACAATACAGTCTGGCTTTCCTGAATTTTCTTAAACCTAGTAATGCTTTTACCAAAAAGAAAAAGGTCTATGAACAGTATATTAAACACGCCTGGCATGTACTTACTCCTGCTAAGGTAACATGCTGGCCCCTTAGATGTCTGTCTCAACTTTTAACTTCAATCTTTTATTCATCCATTTGCTGACACAGCTGATGAAGATTTTAACTTCGAATGGACAAACTGTATACCACATTTATAAATTCTGTTCTTTCTGCTTGTTTATACATTCTCTCCCCAACAATAAACTGCTTTTTTAAAAAAATGTGGATCTTGAGGTCTCTTAAAATTTGGTATATTAAATCAAAGTCAGCTTACTGATAGGTTTCAAAATTTGGTGGCAGAGCCTATGATCTACTTGGCTCAGGGGCCATGTATGTGACTTGCTTTGATGTCCAAACGTTTAAGGAAGATTATTAGCAAAACGTTAGAATGAGAGCAGCTGTGCATAAGAATCCAAATCTCAGGGGATGGCAACCCCATTCTTCCAGGTCCTGAAGACTGAACCCTGGGAGCCACCCCTGAGGCCTCCCCTCCGGTCACATGCCACAGCCACGTTGGCAAACCAGCCGGCACTGCTCCCAAACACATCCTCAGTCCTGCCGGTTCTTGCTCTCACTGCTGCGCCTGCCCTGGTCACAGCCGCCGCCTCCCACCGGGGCTACCGCGGGGGCAGAGCAGCCCCTGCTTCTGTCTTCACCGCTGACCGTCCTACGTCCCTTCGGGTTCTCTTGGAAATGCCTGACGAGAGCTGAAATTCCTTCCTGGGTTAAGGCATCATGGTAAGAACAGGCAACAAACACGACCTGTTAGCCTTCCTTTTGGACTGTGACCTTGTTCATTTATGAGAGACCCGGATTTGTGAAAGCCAATTATCTTGGGCATAAAGCTGTAGCCCTTTTAAAGAAGAAATCAGTCTGTTAGGCAAGAAATACTCTCAACAGGAACGAGAGTGAGGTGGCTGCACAGACCTCGGCTTAAAAACAGAGGCATGACTTCTTGAGTTCCTACACCCGGAAGAAACTGTTCTTTCAATCTTGATTTGGTTCCCTGATAAGACCAGCCTGGCAAGGCTCAGCGTATACTCCCCTCCTGCTAACGTACAGGCAGGCCCCTTACATGTCTGTCTCAACTTCTTTTTTTTAATTTTTAAAATATTTATCTCTGAGAGACAGAGAGTGAGAGAGAGACAGAGAGCTCGAACTCAAAAACCAGGAGATCATGACTTGAGCCGAAGTCGGAAGCTCAACCGCCTGAGCCACCCT